CAATGGGACTGGGGAGCAGGGGCGGGAGACTGTGTTAGGGCTTTTTCCCTAGACTGCAATTTGGGGGAGCAAGGGAACTGCGGGGGCTGGGGCGGAAGCTGGAAAACCGTAGAGGGGGTGGGAAATAAGAGGGACATTGGGAGAATGGAGAAGCTAGAAGCCCGGAGGTGGGAAAGGGAGACGTCAACAGAGACCTGAGGGAGGCGAGGAGGGGCAGTATCACGTCACCCTCCCCCCCACACACACAACCAACTCTGCATTAACCTCTTTTCACAGCCCAGCCCATCAGCAGGTCCCTGCTGCGTGCCTCCTGGGAGCCTTGAAGCAAAACCCACAGCCTGAACCCAAAAGATCCTAGCATTTCCATTCCCAGCCCCAGGTGTCTGAGGAAACCATGGGATGGTCAGCAGGGAGGTGGAAAGGGTTCCGGGACTGGAGGAAGAGTGAGAGATTCCACACAGCCACCCACCCACACCTGTCCAGACAATTCACTCCTAGGTGGGATTTTTTTCCACTGCCTAGGCTCCCTGTCTCCCTCTCCCCGAATTTCCCATCTTAAACCATGATGAACCAACTCAGCTGATTCTGAAGCCAGGGAAGTTGGTAGGTTTGAGGGAGAGAGACAGAAGGGGGTGTGGGTGAAGGTGGCAGCCCCCACCATGGTAATACATCTGGTAAGCATGGGCTGTCCAAAGGCTGGGAACTGGAGGTGATGGTACCATCAATGACTCCAGAGGGAGAGGGAAACCCCTGGGTCCCAAGCCAAAATTTTCCAGAATAGCCAACCAAACTCCTCCCTCACTTTCTGCCCCAGACTTTGAACTCAACACCTCATCAAGCTGACAACCCCTTCCGTGCTTGGGAAGAGCAGATTCTCTGCCTCCTTCCTGATGGCCCTATAGGACAAAGAGTTTGGAATGCCAGAGTCGGGGCCCCAGCTCAGCGGAGCTGTCTGAGGGAGCTGTGGGAGGCAGCACTAAAGCCTCTCCTTCACTGTGGCTCCTGGCCAGCAGACTGTCCCCCCTCTTTCTCCACCTCTTCCTCCTCATGCCTTTCAGGATCCTGACTCAGTCCTAGGATCTCAGGATATTGTTAGAACTCATCCCTGGATGAGCCTGGAAGTCCCCACTCCACACAGCAAAACCAGACCTCTCCCAGGGGAGACTGCCCCCCTCAGAGCTCTGGGACATTTCCCAAACCTGTTGAAAATGGGCTGGAAGCCAAAACTGACCTTCGAAAAGGCTCAAGTCTTGGATGACTGACAGCCCCAGATCCTGCTCCAGGTTCCTTCCTCAGGAAAAGCCGAGGTCAGGCACCAAGCTGCCAAGTTCCTACCCCTCCCTCAGGCTGCAGGCACCAGCCCCATACTCATTATGGGAGGAGGGAGGAAGTCTGGTAGGAACTCTTATTGCAACAGGGCCCAGCCCTATAAAAATGCTGGTAAGCATAGACTTTTACACAGTCTGTGTGTGTGTGTGTGTGTGTGTGTGTGTGTGTGTCTAGGCTAGCCTGGAGTCTCTCAGCCTCACCTGCCAGACAACACCGACTCCCTCCACACCCTGCCAGCTATATTCTCCTGAAATCTCCATCTCCATCTCAGCCAGCCCAGACAATGCCTCCCAACCTCACCGGCTACTACCGCTTTGTCTCACAGAAGAACATGGAGAACTACCTGCAAGCCCTAAGTAATGGCCTCACCCTCCCAGACCCCTTTCATTCCCCCTTTCCCCTTTCCCTCCCTCTCTCTCTATCCCACTGAGAAAAGGGACTGCTGGGGTTGGATGCTGTGGAAAGGTTCAGGTGGTGGCACCTGACTTGGGATCCATTTCTAGCCAGGGCATTGGTAGGAAGAGTCCGTCTACAGTCTCAGACCCAGCTAAGGGGCAGCCCACAGCCCCGTGGTGCTGCTGCAGGTGGGGGAGCCCCTGGCTGGCTTGTAGGAGCCCCGCTAAGAGATAGCCCCCCACCCCCAGACATCAGCATGCCTCTGCGGAAGATAGCACTGCTGCTCAAGCCAGACAAGGAGATTGACCATCAGGGCAACCACATGATAGTGAAGACCCTCAGCACGTTCCACAACTACATTCTGGAATTCGAGGTGGGAGTTGAGTTTGAGGAGGATCTAAGGATCGTGGATGGACGAAAATGCCAGGTACTTTTCCTCGGGCTTCGGGGAGGGCACGTGGGTGAGCAGGTAGGTGCCTCTTAACAATCTGGGACAAAACGAAGTGACCTTTCCCAGCCAGAGCCAGAGAAAAGTGATCACTACAGCAGGCTGCAGAGTCCCCAAGATAACAGTCCCCCAACTTGCTCTCTCCTGCCCCCTCTTATTGCCAGCCAAAAGGACAAAAAGGGCAGGTCACCCTCAGTCCAAAGAAGAAATATTTGCTCACCCTCTAGCCTGTGACCCTGTTGGTCACTGCAGAGTCTCTTTTCCCTTAGCCTCTATGAGTCCACTCTCCTCTATTTCTGCTTCTTTTTTTTTTTTAAAGATTTTATTTATTTGAGAGAGAGAATGAGAGAGAGAGAGCACATGAGAGGGGGGAGGGTCAGAGGGAGAAGCAGACTCCCTGCCGAGCAGGGAGCCCGATGCGAGACTCGATGCGGAACTCGATGCGGGACTCGATGCGGGACTCGATGCGGGACTCGATGCGGGACTCGATCCTGGGACTCGATCCCGGGACTCGATGCGGGACTCGATGCGGGACTCGATCCCGGGACTCGATCCCGGGACTCCAGGATCATGACCTGAGCCGAAGGCAGTCGCTTAACCAACTGAGCCACCCAGGCGCCCCCTCTATTTCTGCTTCTTAATGCCCTCTTTTTGGTCTCCTTTGCAGACCCTAGCTCTCCTATTAATCCCTTTAACTGGGGTTTCCCTCAGTATTTTGTTCTTGACTTCCTCTCTTTTGTCTGTTCAGGAAAACATGGGCTAAATCATCTATACCCACTTTCTGCTTCCATCTATAAACTGTCCTTGACGTGGATTCTCTGGCCAGAGCTGCTTCCTGAGCTCCACAGTGGAGTTTTCATCTGCCAACACAATGTTTCCATCTGCATGCCTCAAGCTCGAAGCCAAATTCATTATCTTCCTACCCAAACTATTCCTGCTTTTATATTTACTGTCTTCATTAATGGCAATAACCAGCTAGACCAGAGACCTGGGAGTCAGAGCAGTATCTTCTGTACCCTTACCCCTGCACCCCAACACACACACACACACACACACACACACACACACCACATCTAGTTGGTCAAGAAGTCTTTATAACTTTTCTTCACTGTCCAGTATGGTTGCTACTAGCCATATTTGGCCTTTGAATGCTTGAAATGCAACTAATCCAAACTGAGGTGTGTTATAAGTGTAAAGTACAGGGGTGCCTGGGTGGCTCAGTCGTTAAGCGTCTGCCTTCGGCTCAGGTCATGGTCCCAGGGTCCTGGGATCGAGCCCCGCATCGGGCTCCCTGCTCTG